TTAGTTTCACTGGTAATAATAAATAATTGAAATGGGTATATATTTGGTTTTTGTTAAGTTGCCTAATAATTATGCACAGTAATAGTCACCTGCACACACAGATATCCCCCTAACATAGCTAAAACTAAAAACAAACTAAAAACTACTTCCAAAATATTCAGCTTTGATATTAATGAGTTTTTTGGGTTCATTGAGAACATGGTTGTTGTTCAATAATAAAATTAATCCTCAAAAATACAACTTGCCTAATAATTCTGCACTCCCTGTAGAGGAAGCTCTGGGAAAATGTACATATCACCCTCCACCCCAAGAAAACCATTAGAAGAAATAAAATGCTAACCAAAATGTATCAAAAATATATTCAGAACACAGCGAGACTATTACATTTGCCATCAGAGTTGCTTCTAAAATTCATATTCAGGGCAAAAATGTTTAGCATATGCCTATATTTAACAAATATATGTTTGTGAGGTTTAACAAATTCAATTAATGTAACAACCCAAGATCCAAGTACAGGTAGTACTCTAGCTCCCTCCCAGCAACCTCTGCAAGCTTCTGCAGATTGGGGACCGGCCCGACAGACTACTTCAGTACTTCTCAGTGGGAACCAGTTCCATTTCACATGTGAACCTGCCCATAACAAAATGGAAATTTCAAGCATTTAACATTTTTCAAACAGACAGTCACAGAGTAATTTGCTGATTAAGAAATTGGATAGGGATCACAGCCCTTCCTATGGATCTTGGAGCACAGGGAATCCATCCTGTTGATAAAGGGACACATAAGGTCTGTATGCATGGAGCCTGGAGGAAAGATAGACTATTCCTATGTACGATTGACCTAGGGCACATTTGGCAGCCTTCAGTCAATAATCAGAGTACAGATTAGTAAATACCAGGTGTTTGCAACTTTCGATACTCCATGTGCTCCTGTGATGGCCTTACATTGGCCTAGAGCTCTAGCTCCATTAGCCCCTACATTAATCTGTCTCTGGAATTGAGGATATGGCCAATAGAGCATTAAAGAAGGCTAGGAAAGTTTAACAATAACAGATTTAAAACAAAGAAAGACCAAAAATAGGTTTAAGAGAATACCAGGAAAAGTTCTTTAAAGCTGCACTGTCACCGTTTGGGGACTTTGCATAATTTGCAAGGAACCCCTGGTGGTGACATCACAACTGGGGGGGTCCAGTAGCCGGGGGTGAGTCAGGCAAAGGTTATTTTAACTTTAAGTAATAGGAGTAGGTGATGTGTAGAGTCCCACAAGGGGAAACCAACATCAGGAGAGCTCCACTGTATAAGAAATGAGGAAGGGAGGCCCTACCTTTAATCAATCTAAGGATAAAAAGGTATATGCAAACAAAAAGTATAACTTGAAAAAAAGGGCTCCTGACGACGGCGTTTTGAACACGCCGAAACGCGCGTCGAGCATTTTCTTTTTCTTTAATCTCTGCACTTAGTAGCACTTTTTTATTTTTGTTACCACTATGGTTATTGATTTTTAGGTGTTTATTTATTTATAACTTTAGTAGGGAGAGTTGGTTCAGTCTCCGGACTCCTGACCTGCACTCTGTTTACTTTATTTCTCCATTTTGTAGTTTAACGTTAACCTCGCGGGCGCTGCCGTCTTCTTTTTGAGACGTTTCTCTTCTGCTCCTGGCGTTTCAGTGCCAAGAGCTGACATCACTGCTGTACTCTCGTGCATGTGCAAATGTACAGCATTGAAGTCTATGGCGATGGCTGGGGGATTGACATTTCAATCCACTCCACTCAGTATCTGGAAGTGTCAGGCGTATGAAAAATACTGAGGCAAAGTAGTCCCTACCTTGTGTAGGTTTATCTTGACTTGGTGGGAATTTCAGTAAAATTCAAACAGTCAAAATGAGTCCCTCAAAAAGATTCTATCTGTATGCAATTCTGAAACAAGGTAGCCTTTTGACTTGGTTGGGATTTTAGTGAAATTTCAACACAGTCAGTATGAGTATTCAATAAAGATTGTCAATCAATTTATTTTTTAATTTGCCACAAGTTTAGTGAATACAGCCCCAGCATTACAAATGTCCCTGAGGCAGTTATCACATTTTTGCTGATGTTATCTCACATCAGAGAGAAGTAAGATTTCCTTCCAAGTTTTAAGCTAGCAAAGCAGAGGTGATCTGTCAGCACTTTCGGGTGCAATTTAAAACCAATGTGAAGGAGTGAGAATGCAAAATAAGAGAGATGTTTATAGTGAATCAATAATAGCTTTCAGGCAATAAAACGAAGGGCACTTATCTTTGCTGATAGAATATTCTAATGTCTGCAACAGACGATAATGCAAAATGGGAATAGTGAGATTCTGAAGATCAAATGGAACTCCTCCAAAAAAAGTCTTATCTAAGGATGAGACCATTAACGATGCAACATTAAGCCCTGCGCTCAAGCTCCCATTACTCCCGGCCAGCAGCAATGACTACACTACACATCAGATCCAATACATACATTAAAACCAAAAGATAAAAGTTACCTGCGCACTATCCCAAATCCCTATGCACATTTAAATAACTTTAGTATCACTCCAATGACCATTAAAGTGTAAGCTCATCTGCCCAGTCAAGGCAAAATCTCTTAGTTAAGTCCTACACTAACAATTCACCTTGCTGCTTTTATCTAAAAGATAAAATCTCTAATGAGACAGATAGGTTAACCATGGGGTGGGTGGCAGCACGGTTACATGAAGCAAAATACAAACATACAAAATTAAGCCCAGAATTTAAACTCCGATTATTACTGGGTGACAGCAGGGGTTTAGGGCTCTCATTGGAGGTTTCACATTTTAGATAAAAGCAGCTAGGTGTTGTTGTTTTTTCCTTGACTGGGCAGGTGAGCTTACACTTGAATGGCCATTGGAGTGATACAAAATCCTCCACTTATTTAAATGTGCATTCGGATTTGGGATAGTGCGCAGGTAACTTTTTTCCTTTGGTTTTTATTATCGCAACGATGCAAGATAGACATTAACTGCAGCCAAGGAATGAAATAAAATATACATTTAATATAGTATGGGTAAGAGACATTGGGGCCATACTTTCCTATGACAGAGCTTAAAGGGACACTCTAAGCACCGTACCCAATGCAGCTCTCGGTAGAGGCTATCATGCCATCAGGCCCCTGATGCCATTGTCTGATTCTGTGTAAAAATGTTTTCAAGATGTATGACACAAACTGCAGTTTCTTGTTTCCAATTCATTTTACATAGATAAAGGGGAAAAAAAGTTTAGAAGAGAAGTAAGAAACGTCTTTTAGTGTCTTGCTCAGTATTTTTGGTAGACGTCACCATAATGCCCACCATTCTCTCTTCCTCGAACCACACATACATGATGATGCACAATCTTGGACAATCATGGACACGTTTCAACTTCCAACAGACATCCTCAGCACAACTGATGTCATCAATCTCATCTCCTTATATGACCGCCTACACTTAAAGGACAACTGTTACCTATTTTTAAATATAATAATCCTCTCATTAAGTTTTAAAAGAATCCTTCAGCCATATACATGCACCTTGGGTCAGACAGTGTTTGAAAACCGACAGTTCGTCTCTATGGTCTTCCCTACTTCACTCCCTACACAAAAGCAGGAAAGACCGTAAAGACACTGTCTGACCCAAGGTGTATGTATATGGCTGAAGGACCCTGTCATATACTAAAATTAGGGATGAGTTATTCTAATTTTATTACATTTAAAGAAAAAATCTATTTCCTTTCAATACTTGATAAAAAGGATATTTTTTTTTTTTTTGAACTTTTTGAGGTGTCACTTGTCCTTCAAAATTTTAAAATGCTATAACCTCTGGTTCAGATATACTTTTAAATATTTATTTTTTTAGCGCATTCTGCATAATGTATATGGAGACTTAATAAGGATGTATTTTTTAATATAAACAAAAAGGGATTCAATGTAGTATTATGTTGGGTTTTTCTGATGATAAATAAATGTGTAATTCAAACATTTTTATATTTGAAGTGGTGATGGTGCCTGGAGTCACCTGGTTCTGACACACTGTTCAGTGCCAATGGCTTCCTGGCACACATGCATTAGTTACGTAAACATGGAATCAAACCAACTGAAGACTAATGCTTTAACCCCTTAAGGACGCAGGACGTTCTATGCCGTCCTTAAGGGGGTGGCTCTAAACACTGCAGGACGGCATAGAATGTCCTGGGCGTCCTTGCCGCCCACATGGCCGGCGCCATTACCCCGCTGCAGATCGCGGTCGGGGGGAATGCCTGGCCCTCCGGGGAGCCTCCCTGTGCTCAGTGACCGCAGTCTGCAGCCTCTGATCGCAGTGACAGGCTGTCACTGCGATCGGTATTTAACATGTGTCAGCCGATTTGAAATCGGCAGACACATGGAGCCGCAGCATTTTCACTCTGCAGATCGTGGTTGGGGGACATGCCTGGCCCCCTGCCTTTGGAGGACTACTCACATAAAAAACTAAGTATACACTTTATCATAATTCTGGAAATTGCATAATTGATGAACTTTCACCTTCTTGCTAACATTATCCTGCTTCAACTTGGTTGCCACTATCTCTGCTACAGTTGCTTTTGCTTTCAACCTATCCACGAATCCTCAAAGCTACAGTTAATTGTGCTTACTTAACCCCTTAAGGACCAAACTTCTGGAATAAAAGGAATCATGACATGTCACACATGTCATGTGTCCTTAAGGGGTTAAAGGACTTTTTCCTATCGCTAATAGTACTCTGGTTAAATAAATAAGGAAAATTCTAATCTGCAGTTGTGTTCCACATCTCTTCTACCTGTGGTTTGTTTACATTTTTTTGGGATCACAACTTGTACATTTGGCTCCGTCCTTAAGGGGTTACATTTTTTACTTACGTATAATTTCCTCTTCCAGTGGCCTTCTGGCACTTACCTGGTTTTTTAAATGTGCCAGGAAGGCCCCTGGCAGGAGAAGCAGTCATAAATAAATAATGAATATAGACACCTACCATCAGCAGCAAATGATTTATTTCCTTATGATCTCCAGTGGTGGTTTCCTTGCAGATGGCAGAATCCTTACATCGACATTAAAATCCAATCCGGCCCCATATTCGCCAAATCAAAATCATTACAAATCAAAATCATTACAAATTTATTGAATTAACAGTGGCATGATGTCATCAGTGAAGCCTAAAATAAAAGTGTACTGTACACCGACTATAGGAAGAAGAGTGAGTCACAAGTGGAGTGGTTCAGGACAAGAGGATGGGAGGAGGTCTAACAGTGTACATCTTCCAAGTGCTAGTGGAGGAATAAAGTACACTGACAATGTTCGAACCATAGGGCAAGTAAAACAAACAGCCTTTTTTCCACGTTAAACACACAGGTCCATGGTCACAACATTAAAAACATGGGCCATCAGCCCAAGAACAATCAAACACAGTGACGGACAATTTCTGCCTGCTGCCTGACTCCTGCCTTACTGTGCTAAATGGTGCGGCCATTGGCAGTTACCAAAAAATGGAATACGTGAAAAGTAAAAGTGCTTGTTTCCATAGTACGCCAGTAGGCGGACAATATTTCTGTCAGAAATTCATCCTCATCAATGAAGGTAAGACGCTCGTAAAATTTTTGGGTGGGATCTGTTAAATTATCACAAACTAAAAATTCTTAGTTCTTAATGGTAAATATACTATTAGCTCATATAAACACATAAACATAAACACGCTCCTATAAAAGCATTTTAATTTAATCTAAAACTGTTAAAAAAAAATTGCAAGACATAACAAAACAAATGATGTGTTAAAATATTAAAATATTGTCATTTAATTAAGCTGCTCAACTGGTCATGTTGAGAGAACCTCTTTGTCACGTAGGTTTATTTTTAAATCTATATTTTCTGCTTTCAAAATCATTACGTTAGAACGGAGTGAACCTTATGTAGATTTTTGCCCCTTCTTGATGAGAGTAACATACCACAGATTTTTGTGTGAGGGTGCACACCGAGTTGTGGAATGCTGCTGCATATTTGGGGACGTGGCATCTTCATGAGCATTGCGATAATTCCCACGGATATAAAGGAAAAAAATTGAAATTCGAATTAACTTTTCATCTTTCTATTTTGTAGCTCTCTGGGATGGCTCCATGTATAGACAGAAATTGTTTGTAAAGTGGCACTGAATCCTGTTTATCACTATAGATGCACTTTAAAAGCACCTGGTTATTATATTCTTAGAATCATGGCAACGTTGCACAAACCCATTGACTTTACATATTTCTGAGAGTGGAGTTGTTGTCATATGTCTCAAAATGAGTCTTCTCAGAACATGTGTTCTGTATTTTCATAACTCTTCTAAAATCTCATGATGTTATTGAGGATTTTTCCAGAATCCAATATCACCCCAAACTTCACATACACAAAAAAAAATAAAAAAAATCCTTTGAGATAATTAATTGAACATTTCCATGGAATTTACACAAAACTTCCTCCTTTTCATGAGGTAGCAGGTCATCGATAATACCCGTTGCCTGTTTGGACGAGGCTGGGTAAATTATCATAGCACTTGCCTACTCCAAAGTAGATGCCCATTTAGATTTCTGCACAAATGAAACCTATTCTCTTTTTTTGGGTATTGTAGCACACTCCAACCATTTTCCATTCTCTCGTTATTCATCCCCAGTTCTGTCATATCCAGTATTATCATACATATGGACTTGGTAGACTATATCTGGACGGATGATCGGTGGGCGCTTGTCGATGGCAAACCCAGTTAAATTGATGTACCTTGAGTCTTTTCGAAGTGGTGTATAGGAACTAGTTTTGTTCCATGTGGGTGATGGGACTGTAATTTCTGGTGGGACATCTGTATGGACCATGGGTTTTTCTTTTACGCAACAAATAAACCGATTCCTTAAAAGAAAATACAAAAATTAGCATTAGGTTTCTGTTTAGTAACAGCCTACAAAAGCCAGCATTGGCCACAAAATGTCTATTGTTCAATATATTCGCATTCCCTCACACTTGCTGAAGACAGCATTTGTGGGTTCTATTATTTTTTAATCCAAGTTTGTAGGACAGTATGGAGCTTGTCAATCTCGCTCTAGAACTATCTGCTTTGGTAATTAGTTTCTGATGTGTGAATTTAAAATGCCTAAATCATTTGGCTCGTGCTCTATACGGTTTTTATCGTCTCTTACCCTTTCATGAATACGCCAGCAAATAGCAAGATAAGAAATATGGATCCAAGAACGCATCCCATGACAATTCTCTTCAAGGCTGCAGAGATGGTAAATAGGCAATGAAAATTGTTTTAAAGATAAATCTGAAATGACAGCATATTTTCTTGGCAAAATGTTTAGTGTTAGGATGTACAACTTTACAATATATTCATTATGTAGCCCATGGAGCAGCGTAGCTAAGGGGAGTGGGCCTTGACATTGCCAGGAGACAGGCATCTAAGGGTCAGTGGTTAGGGATTGGTTTAAGGAAATGGAGTGGGGTGGAGTTATAAGGGGAGTAAAAGTAGTGGCCATTTTAGATCTAGGGATCACTTTAATCTAAGTTGCACTTACCTGTTGTTGTCCCACCCACCCTCCCTTTGCTTTCAGGTGTTTCCCGTTTGGTCACGGCGGCGGGGGATGGAGAGTAAAGTTGGGGGGAGAAAAGAGTGAGATGGGGAAACAGTTTCGAGTTCAGGGCTAATAGGTAGGCCTTTGGACTGGTTTGGTAGGTTCAAGCTCGTAGGTAGCGCCGAACTGGGGTGTGTAGGGGTGTCTCGGTATGCCCCTACACATGTGGTGCCCTTTGGTGGCAATGGATGGTGCCCTCTGGTGGCAATGGTCATGTTTCAATGTTAAGTTAAATGTTACAATGTTTGTTTGGGTATTATGTTATGTGGGAGTGGGTCATTGTCAGGGGGTTTAATTTGTAAAATGCAGGATGGTAATTGGCCTGCTGTTGACAATAACCTTTATATTTTATGTTAATAATCAATAAAGCTGTGATATAAATTTTTCCAAAAATCCATGGTGTCAGTGTTTTATTGGAAATGGGTATTGGTGGGGTTTATACATATGCAGACAAGGCGACCGTGCACATGTCATGCACCAACTGTGAAATCTGCTTAAACTTCAGCTCTGTATGTTTTGTTCCTGGTAAAGTCAACCCATCTTTCCATCCCTCTAAGACTGATACACTGTTGAGATTGATAGATTTAGCAGCTATCAATTCAGCTATGTCCATGAGCAAGCAAATATCCAGCTGATCCAGTAGTATAAGACAGAGATACACCTACTACCTTGTCAATAGATGCCCTTCTTTTTAGGTCCAATAGCAAAATAGCAGCACTGCAATGCAGGGGGCTACTTCTCCCCACCCCTCACTGGCATTGGAAGCCTTACAGCAGACTCCAGTTATAACAGAGACCTCACTAGGACAGCGACAGCTCCAGGGCACACACTGGACTCTGCACAGATGGGACACAGATCCCAGAAGCCTAATGTGGCGGCTCCCGTTGTAAAAAGAGACATCGGCATTCTATTGCAAAGACAGGTGCACATCAAGATAGCCGACTTTGAAGGCCGAGAGGCATGTAACACAACCCCAGCGCCAACAGATCAGAACCCTCTGGTCCTCAAAGGTTCTGCCCTGGCTATTAGACAGGACATTCAAAACCTATTCGAAGACATTCAGAAGTTATTTGCTAAAGATGTAGCAGTTGTTAAAACAGAAATCCAAGCAGTCCCTGATTGAGTTAGAACCTCGGAGGAGGACATCATGGATCATATATATTGCTCTTTAGTAGATATATCCCCAATAAAAACATGCATGCATTTAAGTATGCATTGTTTCATTGGGGATATATCTAAAAACAGCTTGCAAAAACTACAGATCTCTTGTCTTCAGTCTTTGCAAGACCTCCCCTTCTTACCTGTCAAGACTTTCTGTGGCTGTCCAATCACAGACTTCCCAATGAAGCTCAATTAGAAGTCTTTAGAAGGCTGGTGCTCTGAGCAATTTCCTGCCTCTTGAGGTTAGGTCCACCGAGCTCAGCTAACCAAACCAGGAAGTAACAGGTCCAGCTGTCTGATGACAGGCAGGGGTTGTATCAAAGTTAATTTATAAAAGTGACAATTTCAATTGAAATCTGCACTTTTTATAAAATGAAAAGAGAGCATTCACCCTTCACACATAAAGAATTTCAGGAAGCTAAAGTGCTTTAGGGGCCTGAGCGTCTCTTTAAGTCTTATTCAAGGCCATCCTTAAATATTGGAAAGCGCAAATTGAGAACTTACTTGTGTCATTTGTTGATTGAATGGTGTCTGGCACTGCAGGAAACAGGAATGAAAACACAGAGTTACTTTCATTGAAATAATTTAATTTAATAATATATCACCTGATTGCATTATATATTAAACTATTTCATTCAGAGGAAAAAATCCTGCACAATATTGTACATGTAAACAAAAAAATATAATCTATTCATGATACGAAAATGATTGCAAAGTTAAGCGATCGGTGTGTATGTGTTTTTGCATTGTTATCACCTGGTTTATAGCAGGGCTTAGCGGACTTTGCCTCCATGCTTCCCCAAGGCACTTACGTCAATGAGCCTCAGCCCTTCACACATACACTGATGTGGTTTGGTTTGTGTGGTTGGATAAGTGAATGTGACTAGTTTTGGTTGTGATTGGATGGTGAGCATGTCGAGATGTGTGGCTGTATGGCAGTGTTACAAAAGACTGGAAATCACTACGTTGCTGTTTTTACTCACTGATTGATACTGTTTGCCACTGCATAAGTTAAACAGAAAACCACACGAATGGATTACACGAACCCTTATGGAGGCTCCATTCGTGGTACGAACGGGGGACCCCCCAGAAACTGGCGCGTGCCGCCACTTAACCCCGTCACCCCGCAAACTACCGAACGGGCGACCCCCCGGCTCGCGGAGTGTGGTAGCTATTAACCACCCAGATGGCTGCGGTTTGCGGTTAACCACAATGTAATCGTTATGCCTGGGGGCATCGACGTTCGCACCCAAAGGACCGAAGGGAAAAGACCGAACGATCCACCGAACGACGACCCCCTACAGCGGGTCGCGTGGCACTCATTAACTGTGGTTTCTGCGGTTGACCCCAGGTCAAGTACCCTGTTCCCAGGTGGTCCTCATTCCCTTACCGAACGAGCCCACTACCAGGCCGACAGCGGGACTTCGCAGGAACTGATACCGAGTTTAGTTCCACGAGTTAGACACGAAGTCCCGCTGCTCGCTAAACCAGCAGAAAACATGGCCGCCAACAAAGACTAACCATTTCATAATGCCGAACGGACTTTATACGGCAGAAACAGCACATTCTGTTCGTGGGATTAGAGCGGCATTCGCCTGGTTTATCTATACGAACGCGAGCCTTAAAATGAATGGTGGAATGAATGGTTTTCCTGTAATAATGTACAAGTTATGGATTTTTATGTAGTTTTCTGGGGCATAATAAAACGTGGTCTTGTGTGCGCTTGGAGATAATTAGATTGTAAAACCGTTGGCCTCATTATCTCCAAGCTGGGCGGGTACTACTTCAAATGATACAGTATACTGTGATTGGTTACCTGTTTGTACTGTACCTGTATTCCATCAGGTCCACAGGGGGCTGTCCTTGGACCTGAGGAATCACATAAATTGCCATGCTATGTGCCAGTAAAGCCAGTTCGTTTTGACCCTCAACTTGCAGCCTTGACTCATGTTGTAGGGATCTGGGATATTGATGTTTAGATCATGCTTGGGGATATTCTACACTTACAGCTGATTACCGAAAGACCTCCGTTCGACTCTCTGTAGCGGGAACCAGGACATCCAAGCGATCAACCCTCCTGCTAGACCGGGGGCAATCGTAACAATTGGTGGCAGCGGCGGGATCATCCTGGAATTCCTAAAGAGAGATATCTAGGACGGATGGAGAGTAACTACGACAAACTAAAGCGTACCACGTTAAAGGATTTACTCGAGAGCCGTGGAGGGAACGCAAGTAACCGGCCGAGGAGAGAATTGATTGCCGACCTTAACGAGTTGGATCAAAGCTTCACAATGGCAGAACCAACGGCAACATGCAGCGATGAGAAGACCAGGATCGTCCGAGAAAGGCTGCCTCTGTACGGACCAAACCCATCCATGGAGCTGATACAGCAACTAATGGCCGAAGCCGAGGCGGACGTACAGCGGACTAGAGCCCACGAGCTGAGCATGAGGACCGCTGATAGCCACAACGGCCCCCTGGAAACTACCGAACAGCCAAAGATCCCGTTCGCGGCATTCAAACCGTTCGCGGAGAATGAGATGGGGATAGACGAATTTTTGGCCGATTTTGAAAGACAATGTGCCCTGCATCAGATCCCCGTCACAGCGTGGCCGCGTATCCTGGCAGGAAAATTAACCGGGCGGGCCATGGAAGCCTTCAGAACCCTCAGCGCCGAAGAGGTAGCCCAATACACCACAGTCAAAGAGACGCTGCTGAAACGGTACGCTGTGACCCCAGACACCTACCGAAGGCAGTTCCGCAGCACGAAGAAAAAAGCGAATGATACCCATGCCGAATGGGCACATCGTATGCGGAGAGCTGCAACCCATTGGATTACCGGGTGTCGGGCCGTCACGGCCGCGGAAATATTGGAACTTTTCTTATTAGAGCATTTTTATGAGGGTCTGGAACAAAAAGACCGGGAGTGGTTGAAAGACCGGCGTCCCGCTAACCTACACGAAGCAGCCCGGTTGGCAGACGAGCACCGGGATGCGCAAGTACAGGAGTTCAACAATGCCCGAACGGTAACTCGCCCCGAAGCAAGAGAGGGATACCGATCAACTCCACGAACGGAGTTTCGCAACCCTGTACCCGCAGGTCCTACACGGTACATGGGACCACCCAGCCACTACCCTCAGGAACGCTCCCGACCCACATGTTATAAGTGCAAGCAGCCGGGGCACCTGATAGCGAGTTGCCCCCTTAACAACAATTACCCCGCACGGAACTATAATTCTTCTCCAGCGGGAAACAATCGTCCAGCTCGAGCGTTTTGCCTGGAACAAGACAGTCCTCTAGAAGAATACCTGGGACCTCTACATGAAGCGAATCCTGTGTATGCCGCCAGCGACAATAGACAACACCACCGGCAAGAGGTACTACTGGAGGGGCGTCCCACACAGGGGTTAAGAGATACCGGGGCCACGATCACCTTGGTGCAAAGCCGGTTAGTCCCCGACTACAAACGCCCGCCTGACACAGTGGCTGTCCGGGTGGCTGGAGGGGACATATACAAACTACCCACGGCAAAGGTACACCTGGATTGGGGTGCGGGAAAAGGACTTGTGAGGGTGGGAATTATGGACAATTTGCCAGCCGAGGTTTTGCTGGGAAACGACCTGGGACCTATGACTTCAGCTTATGCCCCGTCCTACAATGCTGAGGCACATCCTGTGACGACCCGGTCACAAGCTGGACGAGCCCGAGACCCTTCACCAGTGCGGGAGACGCAGGTAAGACTTAACCCGACTATGACCCCCCCTCCTACCCCGTTGCCCTGGGACACCCCTGCAGCCTTCGAGGCTGAGACCAAAACTGATCCGACGCTCCAAAAATATAGGGAACGAGCCGACACCGGGGCTGGGGGAACAGACCAGGAGACTTTTGCATGGGAACAGGGTCGACTGTACCGACACACAGAGAAAAAAGGGCACCGAAGGAGACAGTTAGTGATACCCCACAAGTATAGGCGGGATATCCTCCGGGTGGGTCATGATATTCCCTTAGCCGGGCACTTGGCAGTAACACGTACCCTACACCGTATTACCCATACCTTGTTCTGGCCAGGAGTACATGCCGATGTAAGGTCCTACTGTAATACGTGTGAGGTGTGCCAACGGGTAGGCAAACGAGGAGACCACCCCAAGGCACATCTCGTGAACATGCCCATTATCGACGAGCCATTTAGCCGGGTAGCCATCGACTTAATTGGGCCCCTGGCCACCCCTAGTCCCTCTGGCAAGAGATACATCCTTACCGTAGTGGATTACGCTACCCGCTACCCAGAAGCGGTGGCTATATCCAATATCCAGGCAGACACAGTGGCTAATGCCTTAGTACATGTATTCTCTCGGGTAGGATTCCCTAGGGAGATTTTATCCGACAGAGGCTCACAGTTCACGGCAGAGATGACCCAGCAGCTCTGGCACGTTTGCAAAATTAAATCCCTGCTTAGCTCCCCATACCACCCCCAGACCAATGGGTTATGTGAGCGGTTCAACGGAACCCTCAAGCAGATGTTAAAAACCTTTACTCAGGAGTATAGGGACTGGGAAAGTTTCCTGCCCCACCTCCTGTTCGCTTACCGGGAAGTGCCCCAGGAAACCACCGGGTTCTCTCCCTTTGAGCTGTTATACGGTCTCAAGGTACGGGGTCCCCTGAACTTGATCCGTGAGCACTGGGAGGGAGAGACAGAGAACGCTGGGGTCCCCATCGTACCTTACGTACTGGAGCTCCGGGACCGAATGGAGCAATTGGCTAAGTCAGTCCAGGCCAACCTCCAGGCGGTCCAGGGGCGACAGAAAGTCTGGTACGACCGGGGGGCACGGCGAAGAAGCTTCTGTCTCGGGCAGAAAGTCATGGTCCTAAAACCAGTTAAGACGGACAAGCTGCAAGCCGCTTGGCAGGGTCCCTACCAGATAGTGGAAAAGAGAGGGGACACCACTTATGTAATTGCCAGCTGTCACGATGAAAACTTAAGAAAGATATTTCACGTGAACGTGCTGAAGGAATACTTGCAAAGACCCGAGGAAGTGTCAGCCATATGTAGCCCTGCGCACGAGGACGCAGATAGTTTACCTATACCCGACCTATTAACCCCTAATTCCCCGGTTGAAATAGTGAGCCAAGTACAGATCGGGGACAGACTTAGCCAAGCTGAGAGGGAGCAGCTACACAAACTGCTCCGAGAGAAACAAGCCATGTTTTCCCAAGAACCAGGGTACACTGAGCTGACCACTCACCAAGTAGATACCCCCGGCCAAAACCCTTTGAGACAAGCTCCCTACCGAATTCCGGAGGCAGTAAGGACAGGCATGAAAAAGGAGATAGACGAGATGCTGCGACTAGGGGTCATTGAAGCTTCCGATAGTCCCTGGGCATCCCCGGTGGTGCTGGTTCCCAAAAAGGACGGCAGCACCAGGTTCTGTGTGGACTACCGGAAACTCAATGACAAAACGGTCACCGATGCCTAGCCAATGCCCAGAGTGGATGAGCTGTTGGATCGCATAGCCAGGGGGAACTACCTAACTACCATTGACCTCTGTAAAGGTTACTGGCAAATCCCCCTGGCCAGGGAGGCTGTCCCCAAGTCGGCCTTCGTCACCCCGTTCGGTCTGTACCACTTTAAGGTCATGCCGTTCGGGATGAAGAATGCCCCCGCCACCTTCCAGCGCTTGGTGGACAGACTCCTTGATGGCTTCCAGGAGTTTGCCTGCGCATATCTGGACGACATAGCGATCCACAGTGAATCCTGGGAGGAACACTTGGCTCATGTGGGAATGGTCCTAGACCAGATTCGAGCCGCCGGCCTGACGCTAAAGCCCGAAAAATGCCACTTTGGGATGGCTGAAGTTCAGTACCTGGGGCACCGGGTAGGCTGTGGGAAGCAACGACCAGAGCCAGCTAAAATAGAAGCGGTCACCAACTGGCCCACTCCCCACACTAAGACCCAAGTGCTAGCCTTTCTGGGCACCGCTGGGTACTACAGAAAATTTGTACCGGAGTATAGCGCCATTGCCAAACCCCTGACCGACCTGACAAAGAAAAACCTTCCCCGACAGGTCCTGTGGTCTCCCCACTGTGAAACGGCTTTCCAAGCCCTCAAACCTGCGTTGATTAATGCTCCTGTCTTGGCTGCCCCAGCCCCTAATCGACGTTTTATTGTCCATACAGACGCTTCCATGTTCGGGCTGGGAGCTGTCCTCAGCCAAGTAGGAGATGATGGGAAAGAACACCCGATTGCCTACATCAGTCGAAAACTCCTACCACGCGAAGTCAGTTATGCCGCGGTAGAAAAGGAGTGTTTGGCTCTGGTGTGGGCATTAAAGAAGTTAACCCCCTATTTGTATGGACAAGAGTTCACTCTGGTTACAGACCATAACCCGCTGGTGTGGCTCAACCGGGTCGCTGGGGACAATGGCAGATTGTTACGCTGGAGCTTATCCCTGCAACCCTTTAATTTCACAATCACCTACCGACCTGGGAAGCAGAACGGCAACGCCGACGGATTATCCCGGCAAACAGATCTCAGCCCAGCATAACCCCACGAGTCTGGACAGCCTTAGTCTGCCCCGAAAAGGGGTCAGACAGTGTCTGCCAGAGTGTTCCACAAAGAGGGAGCATTGTTACAAAAGACTGGAAATCACTATGTTGCTGTTTTTACTCACTGATTGATACTGTTTGCCACTGCATAAGTTAAACAGAAAACCACACGAATGGATTACACGAACCCTTATGGAGGCTCCATTCGTGGTACGAACGGGGGACCCCCCAGAAACTGGCGCGTGCCGCCACTTAACCCCGTCACCCCGCAAACTACCGAATGGGCGACCCCCCGGCTCGCGGAGTGTGGTAGCTATTAACCACCCAGATGGCTGCGGTTTGCGGTTAACCACAATGTAATCGTTATGCCTGGGGGCATCGACGTTCGCACCCAAAGGACCGAAGGGAAAAGACCGAACGATCCACCGAACGACGACCCCCTACAGCGGGTCGCGTGGCACTCATTAACTGTGGTTTCTGCGGTTGACCCCAGGTCAAGTACCCTGTTCCCAGGTGGTCCTCATTCCCTTACCGAACGAGCCCACTACCAGGCCGACAGCGGGACTTCGCAGGAACTGATACCGAGTTTAGTTCCACGAGTTAGACACGAAGTCCCGCTGCTCGCTAAACCAGCAGAAAACATGGCCGCCAACAAAGACTAACCATCTCATAATGCCGAACGGACTTTATACGGCAGAAACAGCACATTCTGTTCGTGGGATTAGAGCGGCATTCGCCTGGTTTATCTATACGAACGCGAGCCTTAAAATGAATGGTGGAATGAATGGTTTTCCTGTAATAATGTACAAGTTATGGATTTTTATGTAGTTTTCTGGGGCATAATAAAACGTGGTCTTGTGTGCGCTTGGAGATAATTAGATTGTAAAACCGTTGGCCTCATTATCTCCAAGCTGGGCGGGTACTACTTCAAATGATACAGTATACTGTGATTGGTTACCTGTTTGTACTGTACCTGTATTCCATCAGGTCCACAGGGGGCTGTCCTTGGACCTGAGGAATCACATAAATTGCCATGCTATGTGCCAGTAAAGCCAGTTCGTTTTGACCCTCAACTTGCAGCCCCGACTCATGTTGTAGGGATCCGGGATATTGATGTTTAGATCGTGCTTGGGGATATTCTACACTTACAGCTGATTACCGAAAGACCTCCGTTCGACTCTCTGTAGCGGGAACCAGGACATCCAAGCGATCAACCCTCCTGCTAGACCGGGGGCAATCGTAACAGGCAGTATGTGGCAGGGTGGGTATGTGGTTGTAAGTGACATCTTACAAGTACGTGAATCTGATTGCTTGAGTGGATGTGACTGGGATATGAGGGGAGTGAGGCTATGGCACTGGGAGGGCAGAAGAATATGACCGATTCAGAGTTTGGAGCTGGGTGGGTGGCTGGATGTCAATGTGTGAATGGGTGAAAGCAGAAAGTTTGTGTGAATGTGTCATGTTGGGGGCGTGCATAAAAGATGGGAGGTAAATGGGATATGTACAGTCCTAGGTGCAAGTGATTTGGAAGTGAAGTGGGGATGTGATACAAAGTGAATGGGACTCAGGAGTGATGTGTGTGTTTGTGTGTGTGTGTTATAATGACTGGGAAGTCTGCACTGTGAGATAGGAAGCACCTCTAGTGGCCATCTGAGTGACAGGTCCTAGAGTTGTTACTAGGCAACAATGTAAACACTGCTTGACACGACAGGATATATACATACATTAGAACCCATACATTAAGATGTAGTGGTTCTGTTGACTATAGTGTCCCTTTAAATGAATAACCTGGTGTGAGAACTAAAAAATACATGTACCCAAATCAATTCAACTGTAACATTACAGAAAGTAATAAAAAGTTGATTTAGAAAAAAAGAAAAAGTTCTTGCAAGTTAAATACAATTACTGGCTACAAAACACAAGATAATTTA